CAATGGGTTTCCCCAGTGGGGGGTTCTTCTGTTAAAGTTGGGATCTGCACAGCATCAGATATGGGCAACAGATGATTCCGATGCCATGGCTTCACCAGTCCCCTCTTTCCTTCTGGACAAATATGACTGGCAAGTATAGTAACTTCCAACATATGACATAGAGCTATGACTTCCAGAGAGCTGCTATTTTGTGTTTTCCTGGTAATCCAAGGTTCCTCAATAGCACATGGCCTCCTGGCTGCAAGTTTGGCAATTTTACCCTGGAGTAGTAGTTTCTCTTATTCCTTTGCTCCACTACCTTTGAGACCTGACGTACCTCTTTATAAGCAGTCTCTAACTGGTTCTTTAACCTCTCTACATACACCTGATGTGACAGAGGGATAATGTGGTCAGAAGCAGTGCCAAAGGCCAGATCCACAGGCAGTTTTGCCTTCCTTCCAAACATTAGGCGGTACAACTAATTGTTTTTGGTGCTGTTATACGCATTTACCACCGCAGCGATATGCTGGCTCCACTGCTGCTTTTTCAAGAGGCAAAGTGCCAAGCATGTTTAGGAGGATCCGATTGAACTGCTCCGGTCGGGGTCACCTTGGGGGTGATAAGGAGTAATTCTGGATTTTTTTATACCCAGGAAGGCCAACAGTTCTTTGATCAACTTGATCTCAGAGTCTCTGCCCTGATCTGAGTGAATTCTTTGAGGAAGTCCATGGTGTACAAAGAATTTTTTTTTGATCAGGACCCTAGCCACTGTGGAGGCCTGTTGATTTTTTGTGGGGAATGCCTGGGTGTTTCTTGTAATTTACCTCTAGAACATTTCCCCATCCGTTTGAGTCTGGCTCCAGACACAGGAAGTTGATACACACCCCATCCATTGGCCCCTGACTCTGAAGGTGGCCCATTGAGGAAACCTGTTTTGGCAAGATTTTCCTCTGAATACAACTCATGCATGTATGATAATATTCCACTCATTCGAAGCCAGTAAAAGCTGTCCCTCACCAGCAGGAGTTATTTCCAGCCCCAGATGTCCGTGTTCGTCCTGCAATGACTTTAACATCGCTCTCTTGAACATGGAAGGAAAAAATTATTGCCATAGGTCATCACCTCTGTCTGAGGGGCCTCTTTAGTAGACCACCCCATTCCTTAGTCTTGACCTATCCATTTCCTAATGAATGACCCCAGGGTCCGGGGGGTCATGTGCCCAGAGCAGATTGGCTTTCATTTTTGAAAAAGCCTTTTTTGTTAACTGTCAGAGTGGGTCTTGATTCTGGGCCTCTTGCAAATCTTTCATAGTAAGTTGAGGTGACTCATCACCCTTCATCTGGACACATTGCAGTAATACTGAGGGATGCTAGTGCCTCAATCTCCCACGACTTCAGCATAAGCCATTCTCTTGGTGATGTATTCAGCTCCCTGACTCAATGCTTGCACTCCCTCCATGGGCACCGGCATCCACTCGGGTTCAGTGGTCCTAATTCCATGAGGCCTTCGGGATAGAGTATCCACATCTCAGTTTCCTGCTCTGGGATGGTACGTCAAGCTGAAGCGAAATCCTGAGAGCGCAGGTAACGACCAGTGCCAAGTGGCATCCAGTTTGGTGGTGGTCAGCAAATAAGTCAGAGAGTTGTTATCGGTGTTCACCAAGAACTCCGCCCCATACAGATAGTCTCTCAGCTTGTCGATGACTGCCCACTTCAGAGCAAGGGACTCCAGTTTATGTGTTGGATAGTTTCTCTCAGTTGGGGAGAGGCTGTGGCTCACAAAAGCCACTGGGTGAAGTAACCCAGCATGCTCCTGATATAGTACACCCCCAGGACCTTCTCATCTGGCATCCACATGTAATTCATAGGGCATGGAAGGATCTGCATAAGCCAGCACTGGGGCCTGTGTCAGACACTGCTTCAATTTGTTGAAAGCCTGTTCACACCTTTGGGTCCACTGCCTGCTGATGGGTTCACTGGGCTTCCTTGGGCCTTTTGTCTGAGAAGTCTTAGCAGTTCTCCTGGCTTCCCCATCACTATTCCTCAGTAATTCCATGAGAGGGGCAGCTGTCTTTGCAAGCACTCAATGAAACACCAGTACTACAAACAGAACCCCAAGAATGATCTCGGCTCAGAAACATTTTTGGGCCAAGGTCAGGAGGTTATGTCTTCAATTTGACTGGGGTCCACGGACACTCCTTCTGTTGAGACTACGTGTCCCAGGTAGGTGACTGAGGTCCAGTAAAACTGGCACTTCTTTAATACAATTCAATACTTCATCATGGAGCCATTGTAGTTCTTTTTCCATCCACTCTTCATGCTCCTCCAAAGTCCTTCCAAACATGATTATATCATCCAAATATACCAGAACCTTGATTAAGTTCATGTCCCCCCATTGTACACTCCATCAATCTCTGAAAAGGGGCAGATGCCCCAGACAAACATTGGGGCATTGAAGCCCTGAGGACTGATGAAAGTGGTCTTTTCTGTCCTCAGGATGCATTGGGATTTGGTAATACCCACTCTTCAGGACAAGGACACTGAACCATTTGGCTCCCGATAGGCACTGTAACACATTTTTAATTCTGAGAGTAGTGTATTGATCGGGATGGTTCTTCTATTAAGCGTCATGTAATCAGTACACATTCGCAGAATGACACTCTTCTTCCACACTACTACAATGGCGGAAGCATAGGGACTCCTAAATTAATGATACCAGCTTTTTTACATCCTCTATTTGCTCTCTAAGATCTTCCAGATTCCCTAAGGGGACTCATCGAGCCAGTTCTCGAAAATGGTCTATCCTCCCTAGGTTGGATCTGGTGTTAAGCACTTTTAACTCATTCAACGTCATAATCATTCTTAGAGAACATTATCTGCCAGTTCAGCAGCCTATCATTTGCTCTCTGTTTCCATTCTTCTGGCAAAGGGGAGTTTTGGTTGGGTATCTTCTGATGGATTGGACTCACTGACCGGAGTAGCAGCATTCACTTGCCCCAGCAGCATTCAGGGTTTCAGTGTGATAGGAGCTTTGGTATTTTTGCAGACTCTAACAAGCACTCATTTGTGCATTGCAGAGGTCTCATGGTGATCACCTCTGGGACTACTTTTACTCCACCTTCTCTTCCTCAAGTGTTCATCTCAAGGACAACAAATGGTCCTGCCTGATTCTAGGTCAGTCAAACTTTGGCCTTCATACAAGTGGCTTCTCCTGGCTGGAGTAACTTCTCCTTACTCTTGCTCTTCCAAATTCTCCCTACTTCCTCTTTAGGGGCTATCAGCTCCCTGACGACCTGCTGGTAAACATGTTGCAATTGAGGATGAATGATCTCGATAGGTGGTGCATTCTGTTCAGCCAATGGAAGGAGCAGCCTGCAGACTAGAATGATGTTAGTTCCAATCTGAATAAAGCACTGTTTTACTTCAGGAGGCCGCAGACAAACTACTGCAAGGGTGTCAAAAGTCTCTGCTCTCCCAAAAATGGATGGGCTGAAGGTCAGATGAATCGGTATGTAGCCATCATATGGACACTTTTGGACCTTATCCCCAGATCGCCAACTCTTCTAGTTTTTGAAGAGGTATGTGCCTCAAATGTTTGTCGTAAAAGTCTCTGTAAAGAAGAGTCACCTGGTCTCCCATGTCCAACAAAGCTTTGGTGTACACTCCATCCAATTGTATGGAAATTATCGGGGAAGGGCCTACCAGCTTGCCTGGAAGCCTATCTGGATCAGGCTTGGAACTTTGGATCCAAGCCCTTTCTGACTGAGTTTTTCATTTCTTTGGGAGACTTTTTCCAGAATCTGGGAGTGGTGTGTATGAACTCCCTGCATCCCAGAACTGGCCAATGGAGGAGTTGGAAAGGGAGTTGGTTCTAAACGACAGCTACTAGAAGTTGTCTGAGTGATTTTGATTTCCCAAGTCTGTGTCCCTTGAGAAGTGGAGCTCCAAGTTTTCTTTGGGCCCTCAGTTGTCTCCTTCACTGAGACTCTCTGAAGTTTCCTGCTGGTTTGGGGAAAATAACTTCTTTAAAGCTTGTATGACTTCTGTTGTAAGGTCAGTCATTCAGGCATTTTTTGGGCACTGCACCCAAAAGTGTTCTGGTTCTCCACACTGGTAGCAGCACTCCAGATTCTCCCTTGTCAACAGCAAACACCGTCACTATCTGCCTCTTTTTGACATAGCCTTCTGCATGGCTACGTGAGCCTCCCCGACTTGCCCTATTGTCTTTTAAACTTTGCAAAATAACTGTTTAATTATGGCTTTAGCTTGAGCCAACTGGGACAAAGTCTGCACTATAGCATCAAATGGAACCATAACCTGGGCTTCAGGTGTCTCCTCCTCTGTAGAAGTAGTCTGGGTGACACAGCTCGTGGCCTGGTACCTTTCTGGATTTCAGCCTTATGAACTTTGGCTGCAATTAGGGCCTTCTCTTCGCATATAGTCTTTAAACATTTTGAGTATGTCACAGAGCCATGAGGATAACTGACCCTTAGCTTCTACACAATAGGGTCGAGAGGATAAGCCCCTTTCTGCACTTGCTGGCATCTTCTGCTCTGACTCCTCCTTGCATAATGATTAAGGATCTTATTCAACCTCTGGACATAGTCTGACAACTTTTCGCTGGTACGTGCACTATATTGCCAAAAGTATTGGGACGCCTGCCTTTACACGCACATGAACTTTATTGGCATCCCAGTCTTAGTCTGTAGAGTTCAATATTGAGTTGGCCCGCCCTTTGCAGCTATAACAGCTTCAACTCTTCTGGGAAATCTGTCCAAAAAGTTTAGGAGTGTGTCTATGAAAATGTTTGACTATTCTTCCAGAAGCGCATTTGTGAGGACAGGCACTGATGTAGGACGAGAAGGCCTGGCTCACAGTCTCCGCTCTAACTCATCCCAAAGGTGTTCTATCGGGTTGAGGTCAGGACTCTGTACAGGCTAGTTAAGTTCCTCCAACCCAAACTCACTCATCCATGTCTTTATGGACCTTGCTTTGTGCACAGGCAGTCATGTTGGAACAGGAAGGGGCCATCCCCAACTGTTTCCACAAAGTTGGATGCATGAAATTGTCCAAAATGTCTTGGTATGCTGATGCCTTAAGGCCAACCCCTGAAAAAACACCCCACACCATAATCCCCCTTGTCCACCAAACTTTACACTTGGCACAATGTAGTCAGGCAAGTACTGTTCTCCTGGCAACCGCCAAACCCAGACATGTCCATTGGATTGCCAGAAAGAGAAGTATGATTCGTCACTTCAGAGAACATGCCTCCACTGCTCTAGAGTCCAGTGACGGCGTGCTTTACACCACTGTATCCCATGCTTTGAATTTCACCTTTTGATGTAAGGCTTGGATGCAGCTGCTCGGCCATAGAAACCCATTCCATGAAGCTTTCTACGCACTGTTGTTGTACTAATCTGAAGACCACACAAAGTTTGGAAATATTTAACTATCGACTTTATAGACAGTTGGTGACTTCTGCGCACTGTGCTCTTCAGCAAGCACTGACACCGCTCTGTCATTTTACTTGGTCTACCACGTTGTGAATGAGTTGCTATTGTTCCCAGTTGCTTCCACTTTGTTATAATACCACTAACAGTTGACTGTGGAATATTTAGTAGCAAGGAAATGTCACAGATTGACTTATTACACAGGTGGCAACCTATCACGGTACCACAATTGAATTCACTGAGCTCCTGAGAGAGACCCATTCTTTCACAAATGTTTGTAGAAGCAGTCTGTGTGCCTAGGTGCTTTATTTTATACACCTGTGTCGGCTACTTCCAATCGTTCTATGGCCTGTATAGCCTGATCAATCCAAGTGTCAAAGTCGTCCTGTCCAAGGGAGGTGGGCATCTTGCCAGCGAAGAATCTCATCTATCAAAAGTTATAACTAGCGATCGATTCAGAGTTTTTCCCCAGTGACTCTATGAACTTTCCTAGTTCAACCAGACTGGTGGCAGATATTTCCCCAGTGGCATCAGCCAATGTAGGGGGTTCAGGGTCAGGCATACCCCCTCTGAAACCCTCTGGGCTTGCATCTGGGAAACCAGGCAGCAAGAGTTGCACAACAACTGTTTCGGTCAAGTAGTAGGAGAGGGACCCCTTTCTTCCATTCAGTCAATATAAAAATATAGGGTATGTCTGGACCACCTCTCATGTCCAGGATGTTCATTCTTTGATCAGGAATATGTGTGGTTAATATCTGCTCGACCTTGATGGATACATTTCATATTACATATTTCCTTATTTAAAGTTGTCTAATTGTCTCACAGTATTTAAGGATACTTCCAAGCCTTGACTAAGGGTCCATACAGGACAAAGTCTGGTTACTTTAGATGATTTTATACCAAAGGGATGTGATTGTAAACTAACTATATGGACAAGCCAGCCCACTAATCTCCTTTCAGGAATATGTAATTTTCTTTAGAAGGTCATATTGTTACTTGTAAAGGGGATTGGCTTGGGGGTTGTCCACTCCATACACACAAGTCTATATATTATAGTTATGATTTGAAACATTCAGTCTCGTCTTTAGAGCTTGCAATCATGCATGCATCCGTGATCACTTGTGCCACGCTGCACATGCAGATGGGACTCCATGATGGAAACAGTATCTTTAGTTAAGTATTATTGTTATATTTTCTGTATCTGTATGTTATTACTTTTAATAAATGTTATACTTATAAGTATTTGTGTGATATCTCTCTGCACATATCAATCACAACCCCAAAACCGTAACAGCACAGACTTGCCCTTCAGTCCAGTCCCTGCTTGGAAGGTTCAGGACCACACATGTCTGGCTGCCCTTTCTCTTCCTGGCACCATACAGTAACATCGGATGATTCTATGTTCTCTCCTTGAGGCCCACAAACTCTCTGAGCAAGGATATCCCGGACGAGTCCCCACATGTAGAGCTACGCCATCAGGACCCACAGAGTATTTTAGGTTTCCAGTTCACTTCTGAACCCCGACTGGAGCACAACCCTTGCTGACACCACCATAATACCTTGGTCAGGTATCACACTGGCTATAACTCCTCTGTGTCAACAATTTGGGGTCATTTCTATACGTATGAATGGTGGTTGTTGTCAACAGTATTTTTAAAATGGTTTTCCCTCTTGGCTATGATATTGCCAAAAACATTTTAAGCATTGAATTTTTATGTGTAAGACAGTGTACATAAAATGGGCTATACATAGAGAGAAAGAGAAAGAGACTTCTTTTCAGTAGCAGGTACACTAGGAGCAGAGTGAGATTCTTTACAATCATATTCTCAAAGCCCCTTGCCACTCACATCTTCCTAGACAGGCATTACAGGTTCAAGATCCAAGATCCTGAGAGTAAGAGGCCCATTTTATCATGACTCCGTTAGTGTTTCTCCATTGTGGGCAGAAATAGCAATAAACTACCTATCACTCTCTAGGACTCATGGGAGAGGAACTAAAGATTTCAAACATGAAAGTCACCAGATATGGTCCACTCCACCCCAAGTCCTCTTTGGGTTAACCAAACTATATGCTGGAAAGATGTGAACCAATCCCACTGCTATGTCTCAGCCAATGAGGAGAGAGCTGTGGCTCCCGTGCATAGCGCTGGATGAAGACCAGGCTCAGGTATTATTCTGGGGCTGAGGGATAGCATGCATAGAATGCATGAAGGTAAAAGACTTTCACCCTTTACAACTACTTTAATGGCTCTCTTCAATACAAAAATCATCATGCCCTCAATTTCTTGGTGGAGGCGTCAATCTAGTATTATATGTAGTGGCAACAACCAGTGTACCCTCTCCTAGGCTCCTGACTCCTGTTTTTTATGAGAAGGACACTAAGAAATCCCCCCCATTGGAGCAGAGCCAACAATACTGGATGGAAACACCGCACAGGTCCTCCATGGTAGTCTTTCATCCACAGTGATTTTGTTTGAACCTATGTAGTACAGCACTTCCCTCATAATACCAGTTTCATACACAATACATCAAAAATGAACATAAAATATATACCATATTACTCCAATATTCTTAATCCAAATACAAAATCTCGGTGTTCTTCCATTCCACCCAAAATAGATTTAAAATGCTTCAGGGCTTTACAATCTCTGCACAATACTTTTCATATACATAATATAAAAAATCTTCAGTACAATGTGATCCTCCATTACCACTTTTTGCGCAACATTTTTCTGCGCAAAATTGGCTGGCTTCCTCCGTTAACTGGAATACTGCTCATCTTCTCCGCTGGATCTTATGATTTAACTCGTCACAACAATCGGGGCTGATCTCTTTTCCCACTATTGAGGTAAAAACGTCCTCTGTGCACTCTCTCTATAACTAGAATAAAATCCACTAATTACAAGAAAGAACAGGGGAAATGGGTATTTCTGTAAGGGAGATTAGCAATAGGAGTTTAGGTATACTCCCTGTCCTATCCCACAATGCAATGTTTAGGGCCTGTCCTAGCATTGTTATGTGGGAGACAGAGCATGTCATACTAATGCAAATACAGAGTTTTCAGAAAGTCTCTGAATAGCCAAGGACTTCATGTAGTGCTTGAGATAATAATAAACTATTATAGCATATACATATAGTGCTATCCCTTCAGCAGTCGCTTGGTAATTTGGGTTCTCTGTTCTGTGGCTTGACTCCATGAACAACCTCGGCCCCTCTGACACACCGGGCTGAATGAAAGTTACTGCAAGCACTTATAAGAACATGAGTATAGATACCTGTAGCTCTGTGTATTAGCACCTGGAAATTGACACAAGACCATTTAGTCATAAATTAAATCAATGTATTGGTACAGGTTAGAATGAATGATGGTTTGAGCTTAAATGAACGCACAGAAAGACCGCTAGAGAGTATAATCACTGTGCCAAGGTATATTGGAATAAAGTTCTGTACCACTAGACTGAAATCAACAAAGTCAGCAATAAACAGTACATATAAGCATCACCTTCAATATGTATAATAATACTATAACTAGTCTAGAGTGCACTCTAGGAGAATGGCTAGGATATGGTGCAATATCCCCTGAGAGGTACCTCTTAGCATAAGCAATAAGTAGAGGTCTCTCTGTAGCAGCTGTAAAGGAGCAGTCTTTAGTCCTAACTCTTCAGCCGGTTAGCGTTGGGGCCCAGTTGTACTGTTGGTGCATATGAGAATAGTTCCAGTCATGTCTTGAGGCATCAATAAAGCTATTAGATGGATGTATGGTCAGTTCCTAAATGGTTCAGTCTCTCTAGCAGCAGAAAGTAAATCCCCACATCAGCAGCTCAGCAGCTCACCAGCACCACAGATATTGCAGCTCACCATCCAGTCATGCACAATGATTAGTTCACTCTCTGCTCTGCACCCAGGTGATTCTGGCTGTCAGCACATCTGGTTGCAGCAGTCCAGATCCTGCTTAGGCTGTTGTTATGTATTCGTGATAATTTGTGTACAGTGATGAAAAGAGGAAACTGTGTCCTGTAAAGCTTGAGAAAATGCAGCTCTTTTCCCTCCTTCTGGCAATCTCCCCCGGTAAATGCAGTTCAAAAGCTGTTGGTTACAGTAGAGTCTCTCTCTTCTGGACTACAGTTCCCACAGTGCAGTGCTGCCTAAGTCTATTCAACTCTGCCTACTCAGTACCTCCCTCCTCTTGCTGATATATCTGTTAACTGGTTCAGCACTGCAACACAGCAGCTACAGAGAGCAGCTGCAGCCAGTGTTCCTCTCACTCGCCATTCTTAGGCAAGCACCTGGTTACATACAATTGGTACACAAGTCATATTGTCACTGAATTTTATTAAGAAAATAACCTTTGCTTTTCAAGATGTAGTGCTGTAATTTTCTGTAAAATGCCATGCAATATGGCAACCTGGAGGAGTTCTGTACACGGTGTGCAGAACACCCCTCAGAAATGTAATTTTCTGCTTGTGTGATTGGCTTTCTGATTTTTCCCAGAAGTCTTCACTAAGATACAGAGTCCTAGAAGTCTTCACTAAGTAAAACTTTGGGCATCCCCTGCAGCAAAAATTTCATTTTTGAGATACTCCCAAAGGTAGGTTAAATCTAAAGTGATTCAGACCCTGTAACTTTGCACATTAGAACCCTGCAAATGCAGCAGCTGGTTGATAATTATAAAGTTACTCCCACTCACAATTATTTTCCACATGGACACAGACAAACAGATATTTTTTCAGAATAACAAAAAGTTGGAATCAATCTGCAACAAAGTTTGTAAAATCCTTGCAATCTGCATAGATCACCCAGAGGGGAATGTTTTTCCTCCACAAAAGTGGAGTTACTCTTTACGCAAAAGTCAGTTAAACAGTTAATGTTTGGTATTAAAGTGGAAATGCTAGGAAATAGAGCTTTTAGCAGAAGAAACATCACAAGTCTCTTTTACAAAAAAAAAGGGTTAGGGAATGGGGGGTACAAAGTGTATTTGAGATGCAGAGAGAAGTTTTAACATTGTAAAAAAATAAATAGACTATGAATATTGACTAGGTAAGAAACACTGTAGTGATCCTCACTGGTCGGCGGAGAACGGTCACCTTATATTGGTGGTCAGTGGAGAAAAGGAAATGGTGCAGCTTTGTCTAAAGTTGGATAATATCCTTATTCTATAGGTGTATGCCTTTTACGTATCTACAGAAGGAGGACTTAAAGCGGAGTTCCACCCAATAGGGGAAGTTCCGCTGTAAAGATTGGTCCCCCACTCCCCATTAAGAA